CTGTATATTGGTCTGGAGCAAGGAGACAACGTATAACCCTGGAACTGCAGCATATCTCAACATATTTCCGGTGCTATGTAATCCTGTTAATATCTCATTTTGTGCATTTAAGACAAGAGTGCTCAAAAAATGCCTATCCCTTAGTCAAGGGAGAAAATTATTTCTGTTAACACGAAAGCCTATGCCTTGATCTGATTCGCGAATTTCCGTCAATATACAGTCTGATTATTCAATTGATAAGGCTAGAAATCTGCTCGACGGCGCTCTGCTCAAAAAGTCGTGAATATTAAGAAGCCGTTACAAGGCCATGCTCACTGTCATGAGAAGCAACCGCAGTGAAGAGATGGGAGTAGAACAACGCGATTTTATATCCCTAATAGTGAGCTGAAGTACACGCAACAGAACCCAATAAGCTGCAATTCTTTTATTTGATATAAAGTTCACAGCTAGAAATCCTGATAATAATACACAAAATACTCCCTATTTCTATTTTAAAACTTAATTTTAAAATTGTTTACTACTTACAAACTTTATAAGTAGCACATAATAAATATTGTTTGAATTGAAGTAAAATGGTCAGATCTTGTGTGCTTATTCACTATATTATAGTGGAATCTTCAGCGCGAATGTTACCTTTAGGGAATTTATATTGATTATGCCATTAAGCTAATGCTAAATCACTTACATCTTATATTGCAAGTATTTTTTAAATCATTTTATGTCTTGAGTGATTCATTTTAGTGTCCTGAAGTTTTTGGATAATCAGGAATTTCCTACTGTATGATAATATGGATTTAAGGGAATAGTAAGCTTATGGTGGCTTACTTTTCATTTCGTCTGGAAAGATGAATGGAAGAGATCAGTAAATCAGGTTTATTAAAAATCAAATGAGGCTTAACTTGGAGCGAAATATTCCTTTGCTAACATTCCTGCGACCCCAATTAATCGGTCATATGTGAAAGGTAATTTCAGATGCTGAAATCAACATTTTAAGAAAAAAATTCACTAAACAACCACGCAAATTTTTCGGTAAATAATGGCCTCTAGTTCTGGTGATATTTCTTACATGAAAGACGAAAATTTGACACAGATAAAACTGGGCCACAGACGGGTGTGATTAAGGCTTCCTCGAACAAGTCTACAGACCCAACCTTTCGATTTCCGGTGAGACCATTATACTGACCTCATCCATCTCCTTTTTCAATGAACTGAAAGTTATACCAACCCCAATCTATTAAGAGAGTATTAGAAATCAAAGTTGTAGACATATGTGTAAGTTTGTCTCATTTAATGCCCTTAGCGTACAACACTTCGACAATAACCAATCTACACTAAGCGTTAGCTTATCCAGCGATGTATTATATAAAGAAATGATATCCTAACAAAAAATTGACAAAATACGCGAATTTTGCACTTCTGCCAACCTCTTTTTGGTGTAATTGTTTTTAATAATGAATCAACCTTATATTTTTTGCTTTCTATCCCATTGGGGGATAGCGTTGTTAATGACAATGCATTTGGTCACATCAGGATAGCTAAGTCCTACCGATGCTCTGCGATACTATACAAATAATGGACATAAGACTTAAATAATAATCGCACCACAAAGACACACTCTAAAAGATTTTCACATATTTAATAATAATAGATCCTTAAAAATTGGATAAATTAAATTGATGCTGAATAAAATCCTGAGTCACCCTAGGTAGTTTAAAATTATGTAAGGTCGGGTAGTTTAAGTCTCCACATAATAGCTTTGATAGGTCGCAAATGTTCGGTGAATCACACTCATCCTTTCCTACCATAAGTCTTTGGCATCCTGTCTGGACTCACGTTTCGTCTTCACCTCGTTATCTCATCTGCATCCTCCTACGGGATTCTAAACCTAGTCAAATTGATAAATTTACCCCTTCACTTTGGTGCAACAGGGCAGGTGTCTTAAAACGAACCAGGGTGGCTCAAGTCCTTATGTAATGATATCAGGGAAATATACTTATTCGATATAGGGTGCTTATTTGTTTAGATTCTTCTGCCGGAGCAATTTCTTTACCTTATCTCGTTTGAACTCCTCCTCATCCTCCTT